GCTGTGACACCTCGGCCGGGTAGTGGGTGCAGACCCCCACCACATTGGTGCAGAGAAAGATCAGGGCATTGGCGCTGAGCTGGTGGGGAAGGTGGGCTCAGCATGGCCACCCAGGGACCCCCAGCCCCACAGCAAGACCTGGCCAGCTCTGCCACACTCCTCTGCACCCCAAAACCCTGGCTCTGGTATGGGAGGTGGAACAGGGGGGCTGCAAGAGGGGACATGGGGCAGGGAGACGTGGGGACCTCATAATTCAGGGCAGGGGGATGTGGGGATGCAGAGACCCAGGGCAGGGAGGATGCAGGGACCTGGGGACACAGAGGACTGGGGTGAGGGGGGACGTGAGGCACCTAGGGACATGGGAAACCAGGGTGGGGGGCTGCAGTGACATGGGGGACCTGGAGAACCAGGGCTGGGGAACATGGGGCACCCGGAGCTGCAGGAAACCAGAGGACCCAGGGTAGGGGGGCCAGAGGGGACCTTGGGACACAGTGGACTAGGGCAGGGTGAAGGGGGGGGACACCTGGGGACCCAGTGCAGGGGAGACACGGGGACCTGGGGATGTAGGAAACCAGGGCAGGGGGGATGTGAGGATGCAGGGACCGGGTGCACGGGGGACATGGGGACCTGGGGGGGGGGATGCAGCCAGGCCCCACAGGCCCTCGGGAAGTGGAGGAAGCCGGGCAAGGGCCGGGAAGCGGAGATGGCTGCAGCGGGAGCGCTGTGGTTTCCCCCCTCCCTGTCCCCATCCCTGTCCCCCGGGACCAGGGCCAGGGCTATTTATAGAGCTCCAACAGGCTGCGAGCGGGGGCCATGCACCCACCAACCGTCCCCACCGCATCCCCCCGGCCATGGGCCACAGCCCCATCACTCCCACCCTGCAGGGTGGGCACTGCTTAGGGGGGCTTCCCCTCTCCCGTGACCCCCCCAAACCCCACTGGCCTCGGCCCACTGCCCTCCCCTCCCTTCGGCATTGCATTCCTCACCCTGTGCCCCATGAGGACAGCACGTGGCCCTGGCCCTGGCCAGGCAGGGCGAGGGTGACGGGTGGCCCCATGCAAGGAGGGGGAGCACAGCGACGTCCTGCCAGGGGCTGGGAACACACAGCCCTGGGGACCCCCCCTGCACCCCCTTTGCATGCAGCACCCCACTGGGAGCACCCGCCACCCGACAGCGTGGGGGCAGGACAGAGGACACCACCAGGGTCCCAGCCCCTCTGGGTGACAGCCACCCCCCTACCCTGGCCCTGCCTTCCCCCTCGGGGGGTTTCCACCAGCACCACAAGAGGGGCTTTGTGGGTGTCCCCCCACCCCCAGCACAGCCCACAATGGCAGGTCTGTGCACAACCCTGCCAGGATGAGGGGCCCCCTCACCCCCTGTGCAGGGCTGCGGCAGCAAAGCGACCCTGGCCACACCACAGGCAGCACCCATGGCACCCCGGCATGGCACACCCCCCCAGGCAGCCCAGGGGCCCCTCCTGCATCTAGAATTTTCCATGTGCAGAAAAGCTCAGCTTTGCAGAGAGGGACTCAGGGAGCCACTGGTGGGGGT